AAATTAATTTATTAATCTCTGTATCGAGAGATGACGCGCCGCACTGTTGCGCGTCATGTTCCGGTACAGTTTGGAAAGACGCAATTAGTATTGCCAAATCGACGGAATTCCCGCCGTTTTCAGTGGATTTTCAACTTGTACAGCGGGGGAACGTAATTCCGCGGACGGCGGAAAAAACGGTTGGAAAATAATTAAGCGGAATTTTAAATATTCACGATGAATTTTGTTACAAAAAATTGAAGTTTCAACAGAAATTTGTTCGACAATTATCAATAACGTTGATATTGATTGTTGAGAAACATTTATATTGGTAATACATCTGTTGCATTTACAGATAATATACACCCAAAATCCTTTTTCTCAATAATTATTGTTGTGAATATTTTTTTATTCTTGGCATTTTCGCAAACTATTCACAACAACTGTTGTTGTGAATATTTACTGCACATACATGATGTTGCTCAGAGATTTCAGATATATTGTTAGAAAATGATATATTGATCAAAAATATTCATTCAATGAAAAAATACTCGTTTAATTAAATAACTAAAAAGGATGGAAACATAATTAGTGCATTTTTGTTTGAATTAATAAAATGTTACATTTATTCATGTACTTTTTCCATTTTTTTCGTCCTTTTCATTGTAAAAATTGGTCACCTTAAATATATAAAAAAAATTTATAACAACTATTTATATAATAATGTACATACATTGTATAAAGGGATGGATTTGGTGTTCTTGAGTTTAGGTAATAGTGGGAAAAAAAGAATTTTATATTATATATCTTCTTTTGGGGGGTGCCTACGTTACGGCCCTTTATTAGGCATATTCATCAGGGCTGGATTAATATTACAGTCAGTTACTATCCGCGTACGTATTCATTGAGCCCTCGATTCGCTTGTGGTGAGAGGAGTGGGGCGTTAGGTTACTTTCACAAAAATTATTTTATGTCATGTTTGTAGTTCGTTTTTTCAATGCAAAATAGTTTTATTGCCCGGGAGCGAACATTTCTGATTACCGGATTTTGCCTATAACGCTCGCTTCTATCATTTATTCTTGATTCAACCAATGTTGGCAAAGGAGTGATGGTAGATATTCCGCGGCTCAAGAAAACGTGTGCCTATAATAATACCTAATTACAGTTACCTAACTATAACCTAATTCCAGTCTTGGTGAAGGCTCAATAAAGGCCCGAAACGTTAGCACCAAGAAAAAGATAATTTTTTAATCATTTAATTTAAGATAATTTTTTTATCTACCATGACCTAAATTCAAGAACACCAAATCCATTCCTTTAGAAGTCAAGAGGTCAAGAAAAACTAACAAATACGATTCAGTGTATAAGTTTTGTTTTAAGGAGTTTTACACTGTGAACGAGTTACGAAAAGTAAGAAGTATCTTTGTCTCACTCATTGCAATGACTAAAAAGAGATGATGATACCTCTGTAAAAACTTCCTGGAAACCGGAATCGTTTCCATTACTTGTTTCTTGCTGTGATTCGTTACTTTTCCTCAAATTTGTTTCCCTCTTCTACTAATCTTTGGTTGTGACTAATTACCGCCCAATTTTACAAGGAGAGTATTCATTCAAATGATCATACACGCCTATAAGTGTTTACTACGAATAGTTATATTTGAATATATTCGGAAGTCCGGTCGTCTTCGGGAATCCGCCCTCTCCTCCGGGTCAAGCGCCCTTCTCTGAGCAAGGAATAAATATACCCGCAATAATCATAAGGAACTTTTTTTACTTTCCCCTGTACATACATATATACGGAGTAATATGTAATGCAGAGCGAAAAACGGCAGATTTTCAAAAAAAAAAAATATTGCCGGGCACTGATAACGAAAAGTGGATAAATCCAGTTGGTAAATTAAGGGGAAAATCCTCTAACATGTGGTGTTGCCAGAATCCCTGTTTTGTGGGTGCTTGATACCGAAAAATCGATTGACGGGAAACGTCCGTCAGTCTGCCTGTCTGGTGAATGTGAACAACATTAGCGCCTAAACTAGGCGTACGATTTTTTCCAAATTGAAGAAACCCCTATCCATCTGACTGGAGTCCAAGCTTTGAGATTTTGAAAAACGTTATTTAAAATTTGAGGGTTCTTTACAAAAACCCTCAAATTTTAAATTCCTTGTAAAAATAAAGTAACATAAGTACGAAGCATAGGTTCGATTTTCACGATTAACTCTTGAGTTTTCGTAAATTTCAAAAGTATGAATTTTGTTAGGCTTCTTCTTACAGCTACAAAATTGAGGTAGAGGTTTTTCCATCAAATTAAATTTGTTTTTCATAATTAGTTCTTTCATTAAGCTCATGAACATTCTTTTGAAATTTTTAGTAGTTTTCGAGCAAATTGCGTAGATATTTGCAATTTAACTAAATACAAAGACAAGATTTTCTTAAAAACGGCTCCGACTTTTTTCTTTAAACTTTTTGTAAGGATAGTGCTAAATATACTCTATGAGATGACATAAACGCTATATTTCTCTATTGTTTTGTTTTTCAAAAAATACAAATATTTTGAAAGTAAGTCTGATAATGAGAAGTTCCTCTCTTGGTCGCAGAAAACCCTTCACAGTTCAACTGCGTCGAACGCTTGGCTGACTTTAGGGGGACTGTTTCCTGAGATAGACGGCTTTATGAGTGCTATCCAAGATCAGGTAATCAGCACCAGAAATTACAATAAATATGCCATCAAGTATGGCACAATGAACGACATTTGCAGGCGCAGCTACTTCTGTATAGAAAATATACAACATATTGTGTCAGGATGTCAATCATTTGCTATGAGTATAAAACTAGACATGACAATGTCGCCAAAATACTGCGCCAAACAATTGCCCACAAGTCTTCCGTCGTACATGGGAGAGTTCCTTATAATAAATATTTCCCATAGAAAATATTGGACAATTATCGGGCAAAATTATACTGGGACAGAACAATCATTACCGATAAAAGCATTTTACACCATGGACCAGATATTACACTTATAGATAAATTAAAGAAGGCTGCATATCTGATCGACATTACAATACCAGATCCAAATGCTATTGATACTTCGCCTCACTTGGGAATGGCGACTGTAACGGAATTCGAATTAGCTCATTTATAATTAATTATTTAAAATAAATATTTACTATTTATTCTCTTCGTCGCGCGCTTATCGGCCAATGGTAACGATTTGCGTACTCTGATATTAATTTATAAATAATATTTCCACACGCCTTAGAACGAATCCGCCATTTTCAATAAAATTTGTTTGAGGGCGTGAATTCGCGAAGCCGATACGGAAATCGGGATGCCTATCATCGGTTTGGGACTTGGATACGTAGTTTGCACATCTCTTGACCACAACCTAAATGAAACACCAAATTTTTCCAAATCGATAATTGCCGCCGCAAATACCGGTACAATGCCGTTTATTTCTGTACCAAGAATAGCTACCTTGCTCCACAACAGCTTCCACATTGACAGCAGTATCAACACTCCTGAAATATGATTCCTTTCCTTGAAAGCCATAATTCAAGATATTGAAACAAAAATACAAAGAAATACGCGCAATCCTTTTCATTTTTCTATGGTTATTTACTTTTACAATTTAAATTATCAACTGCAAAATGTTCTTAAATGCTCACTTCCCTGACATCGGTCACCGCAGGTTCCACTACAAAATCAGCACACACCTCCGAAATTACCATCTTTCCATTTTTAAATCCATTTTATGTCCGTACTTGTATTCCACTTATGGTACTTCCACTTATCATTCAAAAGCAACCAGTGGCGAAACGTGAGGTAAATTTTTCGATAAGGTGAGTCACCAACATATTGTAATCCAACATAGAGAATTGGGTGTTTGTGCCCCCTCGAGCGTTAATCGATCTTCTAAGCATCCGCAGTTTAAGTTTCGCATCACTTTAGTGCCTCAGCGCAAGCACATAAGATCGCTAGCACTGTCCGCCATGATGTACACAAGCTCTGTAATTTGTGAAATATCAAATATTACGATGCTAGAGATCAGAATATTTTGAAATAAGGTCATGTACAAATTTTCGGAAATGTGAGTATTTTTCGCGTAATTTTACGTGGGATTTATGGGCGAGAAAGTCCGTGCTGCTTTAGCACCACTAGTTCGTGTTTAGAATGGATCCGAATAGTAATTGTGTTCAATATTTAAAAACTGTTGAATTTAAAAGCTTAACTCTTCAAGAAAAGATATAATAGCTCGCGGTTGACCTACACTGGTGTTGAACAATCTTAATTAATTTTCTATTTTTCCATGCAGCCCCCCATTAATTACTTAAGAACTCGAATTATTGAAGTTAACTCTTCAATGCCCACGGTAATTTTGTGCGCATAGCGATCTCCCATTGTCGTCGCGTCCATGCGCGCTCATTGTTGACAGTCTATTGAAGAACTAAAATTTGTAAATTAGTGCAACAAATATAAGTTGATCCAGAGAGTATATAGTTGATCAGAAATGTGGTTACATTTATGTAAAAAGGGCCATTAGAGAGTTAAGATACAAGAAAATACAATAAAGAAATGGCATAATACTAAAGGAAGTAAAATAACTCGCTTTAAACCTTATTTTCTTTAATTGATATGGTATATAATATTACATAACCGTTACTAAGAGGCGAAAAAGTATATACTATTTTAGCACGACTAGATTACTTTCATAATTTATACTATTTGAAGATAATACGTGAAACCAATTTGAAAAACTCAGTAGAGCGTCTCTCCTAAATTAAAACATTATTTTCAAATCTATTTCCTTACATCCTTTTACAATAATAGAAGAACCCATGAAGTGCTGTTCATAAACGGACATACTACATATTAAATAGTATTTATTTTTGTATATTTCTGTCACAATCTCAAAATTTATTTATACAAGATTTCCTTACATTAGCAACGAATTTACTAGTACGCATTACTTTGCGCTCAACGCATTACATTTCGCTGAACTTCACATTTTTTTCGTTTTGCAGATTTTGGTGATCGCACTCTGTGTTGGCGCCACTGAATTTACAGTACTATTATTGGCGCGGTAAGTTTGGTCTGTTACAGGACAGAAAACGCTTTAAAAAGACGAATTCCTCTAAGTTTTGAGGTGTAGCAACGTAAGTTTAATCGTGCAACTAACGTATTTCTAATTTAATGTAAAGTTTGTTTGTGATTACTTTGCTCTCTCTATACTGTGTTCAATAAACATAAGAACCAAAATCTTGTTCCAAATAAAAAATTAAGTATTTAGAGAATACATAGATTATCGAATGTTCTTATAACCGAAATACGTTCGTTTCTTAGGCTACTCATCATTTCATTGAACTGTGCGTGAATCTGGAAATTGTTGTTTAAAAATGGAATTTGATTTCCAGAAGACAAAAGCTCCACCTTTTATTCTAGATGAACTCATGAATTCACGACCCAGAAATTCTACTGACATGAGAGGATCATCAACAATTGTAGATTTTCTGCAGCAACCAAACATAAATCAACAAGAATTGATACCTAATCCAGAAATGGAAACAAATCAATTTTCTGGTTTACCAGATTTCCATCCCATTCAGAATTCATCGCAGATTTCCCAATTCATGTTTGATCAAGAATCGTCACACTCCAATGATGATAGTTTCCTTACATCAGCCAGAAAGGATGACCCAGATAAGCATCCAAATTCAAAAAAGTTTTGTCAACCAATGGATTCTTTTTTTGACTCGTGTGCTGATAGCCCACAGAATGCTCCTTCACCATCCAATGATTTTCAGATTTCATCAAGATTTAATCAACAGCCTTTTCAGTGTCATAATAAAGCTCTTTCAATTGACAGGCCAAATAATCGGCAACATCTTCAAGAGAGATCTGTTGTTTCCAATGATGCACCTTTGCAAAATAGCGCAAGGGATGTTGAACATCCTGTTTCTCAGATGCGTGAAACAAATGTTCCATGTCAGAAAACAACTAATGCATCTGCTAAGTCTGAATCATTCAAAAATTTCAACGCAGAATTACAGGAATTCACTGAGAGCTACACAAAACTTTCAACTGAAAAAGCTGAATTGGAAAAGCAAGTTTCACACACCGAACAGTCTCTCAAAGAATATCGTGAACAGGCCTTGAACTACAAGAATAAATACGAAGAAGTCCAAGAGAAGTTAAATGAAGAAATTAAAAATAGGGAAAGTATATTAGCACAGTGAGTATTAATATTTAAGTGGATATTACTTTAAATTTATCATGTCAGTCATGGAAATATATAGGCACTAGTGTACACCATACATTCCTACTTTTCAAATCTTTGAAATTGTATTTTATTTTGTAGAGTGGAGTATGTAAACGGTGTATCTCAATTGCTAGACAAGTATTTTAAAGATATATGTAATACACTTAAATTGTATGGAGACATTAACTGTGAATATAAAGAACGTAATGCCAAACTTCATGAACAAGTAGAGAAACAAGTTAAAGAATATGAGAATGTGATATCAAGTTATAAAGATGCAATTGAAAAGTTAAAAGGCAAAAGTAAACAATTTTTTCTGATAAATATTGATAATAGAAAATTTGTAATATATTTCTAAATCTTGTAATATGTGTTATTACCTATTCTTTGTTTTTTCCTTTCAGTTTTAAAATTGGAAAAGCAGAATAATGAAACTACCATAGAATTTTCTAAGATTAAAGAAGAACTTGCACAACAGCTTGAAGATGTTAATAGTAAATTATGTGGTGAACAAAGCAAATCCACAAGTTTAGAGAAGAATCTATTTGCTTTAGAACAGACAAATAAGGAATTAATTTCAAGACTGGAACAGTCAGAAATTAATTTTTCAGAGGTAGTACAGATGTTACTGTCATTTAATATTTTTATCCTTTCATGTTATTTTCACTACGTTCTTTTTTTTACTCAACAATAAATAGGCCTACATGAAAAGCAAATTTTTTAATAAATTTGTACAGAAAGTAATTTGCTTTTTTGATTTGGGAACATTACACTATCACTTTTTTTAAAGAATTCATATATAACGTAAGGATTACAATACGTCATTATTCAGACACTAATTGTAATTCTATTTTTTTTTTTTTCACTTTAAATTTAAAAAATTACCAAAAAGGATTATACTATTTAGCAATATACCAAATACTGAAGTTCGGGTGTATGGAGTGTAGGGAGGAGTGCATGGGGGTGTGGGGGTGGAATGTGTGTGTGGGGGTGTTTGCATGTGTGTGTTAATTTAGCAAATTCATTAATAAATTAATGTGTATGGGGGATGTTTAATGTGTGGGTGTCATGTGTGTTTTGTGTGTTTGCATGTGTGGGTGTTGTTTGTGTGTGTTTGCATGTGTGGATGTTGTGTGTGTGTGTTTGCATGTATGGGTGTTGTGTGTGTATTACATAATATAGGTGTAAGGGCATGATTTAGATATTCATGGTTTGAGAAAAAGAGTTTTGAAACTTTTTCTTGCCTTTAACCCTTTAAGGATACAATTCAATGAATTGAAGCTCAGGGTTACAAATATCAAACTGAATATAGCTTTCTGCAAATTAATAAAGAAATTTGCTAAATTAATATTATAATTATGCTCTTTTTAGGGAGATTATAGTCAGTCATGTTTACTGAACTCTTGTTTTACATGGATTATCTTCTTTTATTTTAATCATATATAGATATACATAGATATATATTCACACTTAATCACCTGAACTCTCTTTTAAATCTGATTCTCTAATCACATTAAATTTTACAATGGTTTAGAAACTGAAAAGCAAATAACATATCAATACTCTAAATCACCGTATAACATTGAAATAATATAATCTTATTCATGAGCTATAAATACATTGTGCACATCATCATCTTGAATTCATCATTTTTAATTCAAATTCAGAAAGATTGAAATAAAATGGTGCTGACTTATTAAGAAAATCATGGAGAACACAAAAGCCTAATATTCCCAGAAAGGTATACAATTTTGCATCTACCTTAATTATTGGTTGTTCATTCATTATTTTTATATAATTATAAATTGGCTTAGGTGGCTCAGGACATCTACTGATGTTGCTGCAGTGCCTCTGATCGTGAGGCCCTAAGGGTTCAGTCATGACAGAAGCAGTAATTTCAACACTAGCTCGGTTGAATTCAGCTATTGTCTGGAGGAGAATTCTAGTGAACGGCTGCTCTATTCGGTTGTTTTCCATGATTTCTCTGATCAACACAAGGCAAATATCAAAGCAGTATCTTAACAAACAGGCCCTGGACTATGTATAATTTTCCCTCTCTTCCTTGCCATATCCTCATAGTATTAGTACAGCGTGGAGCCATTACGCTACCACACATGGGAGGTTAGAGCACGTCCTGGCTGGGCGGTGCCCTGCAGGTGGAAGATTGGGGAAAACTCTGCAAGCCAACATATAGGTTGGTGCTAATCTCAACATCCAGTGGGGGATCACAACAGCTTCCCACAATAAGAAACATGCATTACACTTATGGAACTAATGACCTTAGCAGTTGACACATCCTGAAACACTAATCAATAAAGCAGATTCATTTTAACCTGTTTATTTTCTTTAATTTAAACTAAAGATTAAAGAAAAAGAACTTTTGCAGTTGTTCAGGTCTGGCTTTTTTATGAACTGGGGCTATGATGCAGACTAAAGCTGTTCCCAAACTGGGACACACCTCATTTGGTGGCTATGTAAGAATGAATAATTAATGCTGGAATTTTTATTTGATTGCGTTTCAAGGTATTCAGAACCTAAAGATACATTGTGACAAACGCAATTTTAAAATTATAATCAGAATGTGCACAACTTGTTTAGGCCAACTTAATGTGCATGTAGATTTTCTCCATGTGGAAAAAGTTCACTTTTTGAATAATAAGAATAATGTGTCTCAGAAGAGGGACTAGTAATACTTGCCTAAAGACAGCTCTAGAGATTACATTGTTTTTCAGAAGGGATACATGTATACAAATATTTTGTGGAATTTCTTTGTAACTTGAATGTTTATGAATAATGTATTATTAAAATAAATTTTAGTAATTTTTTATTTACTGTTATCAGACATTTGAATGAGAAGTGGAAAAACAGTTTGGAAAATTTGGATTCTTTGGGTTTAAAGTTGCTAGTTATGTGAAGCCAGTTTTATTCTGTCAGGTTCAACCTTACAATTTCTAGCAGAGTCAAAAAGTTATACAGGCTAATGCTTTAGAATATCTCTGAGATATATCATTTCTCTTTAGCCTTTGAATCTCAATGTTGTCTTGCGTACAAGTGAGCTTTCCTCAGAAAAGAAAGGACTGCACATTTTCTTGCACAAGAGTGTGTTATCTCTGTAATAAATCCTAAACATTTTTTTTTTAATTCTGCAGAGGTACTCATCCCTTCAAAAAAAATTAGAAGAGGCCAATAATAATTTGGAGGCGATTCGATCAGATAATCTGGAATTGAAAATTTATGAAGTGAAATTCAAGCAGCTAGAAACATTTAATGAGAAGCTTCAACAAGAAAAGGAGGTATTTAAAGAAATATTTATGGACATTATTGTAATATTGGGATAATTCTTATCAGCAATTTTCAGGTCATTTTTGAGTATTTTTTAGGCTTTATCTACCATTGTGAATACCTCTCAGAATAATCTTTTAAAATCAGAAATTGAGAGATCAGAACATTTAAAATCAATAGAAAAACTGCTTGATGAAAGGGAGACCATAAACAAAGAAATATCTGAATTAAAGGAACAGTGTACTGATGTAAATTTGAAGTTGGTTGAAGTTAAAACGAATTATGAACAACTGTTTAATGAGAATGAACTTCTGAAGAAGAAAAACGAAAATATACTGTAAGTTTATTTTCCTTAAATATTGGAAAATATTAATATTATTTGTATAAGAAACTTTATAAAATGTTCTCTGTTTGTGTAAACCAGTTTATTTCATTTTCAACTGAATCTTAATTATTTCAGTAATTCTAATGGCCTATACGTGTTAAGTTCATTATAAAATTATCACAAATTTTTACAAAATATTTCATTTCTTTCTTTTCTTTTCTTTTCTTTATTTTCTTTTCTTTTTCTTTTCTTTCTTTTCTTTCTCTTTCTTTTTCTTTTCTTTTCTTTTCTTTTATTTCTTTTCTTTCTTTCTTTCTTTTCTTTCTTCTTTCTTTTCTTTTTCTTTCTATTTCTTTTCTTTCTTTTCTCTTTCTTTCTTTTCTTCTCTTTTCTTTTTCATTTTTCCCCCCCCCTACTATACCCCCCCTCCCATAACTCCTCATTTTCTTTCCTTCTTCTTTCTTCTTTTCTTCTTTTCTTTTCTTCTTTTCTTCGGTTTTTCTTTCTTTATTTTTCTTTTCTCATCTGCTTTCTTTTCTTTTCTTTTCTTTCTTTTTTTCTTTTCTTTCTTTTTTTTCTTTTTTTCTTTCTTTTACTTTCTTTACTTTACTTTACACTTTACTTTATTTTTTAACTTTTATCTCTTACTTACTCTTATTTACTTTACTTTACTTTACTTACTTACTTACTTTACTTTACTTTACCTTATATTATACTTTACTTACTTTACATTTACTTAATTTACTTTTCTTACTTTATCTTTACTTTACTTTACTTTACTTTACTTTACTTTACTTACTTTACTTACTTTCTAACTTTACTGTCACTTTCTTACTTTACTTTACTTTACTTTACTTTATTCTTTATACTTTACTATTACTTTACTTTACTTTTACTTTACTTTACTTTACTTACATTTACTTCTTATTTATTACTTTACTTTAACTTTTACTTTACTTATACTTATTTACTTTATACTTACTTTATCTTTTTTACTTTACTTTACTACTTCTTACTTTACTTTACTTTTACCTTTACTTTACTTTACTTACTTTATTTACTTTACTTTACTTACTTACTTTTATTTATTTACTTTTCTTTTTCTTTTCTCTTTCTTTCTTTTTCTTTTCTTTTCTTTTCTTTTTTTTTTAATGAGTTCATTTCAGAAAACTATTGACTTTGTCAACACAACTGCCCTTATTCTTTAGTTTTTCAGTACACATTAACATCTGGCTAGCTCTTTTTCATCCTTTCTCTATGTACACCCTTCTTGTTCTTCTTTTCTCATGATACTGATCTTCCACTTCTCTAGTGTTTGTTCTGTAAACTTGTCTGTGACTGTTATCTATTTCTTGCAATTAAATACTTTTCCAAATTTTTGCACACTTCCTTAAAGAATTTGGTACATTTTTGTCTTCTAGAATGAATCAAACTGTAACTATTTTTTGTATATTTGCTAATAAAAGTATGTAAACCACTTGGTTTACTTGGAAGGATTGAACAGCAATTGTTTCATTACTATATAGACTTATCATTAATCACATTATTTGTTGTAAATAATTAAGGGGGCATTGTCTTAAAAATAGTCAGTGGGCTGAAGGTTCTTCCTTTAAAATAGAATAATCAGTTGTCTAAAGATTCCCATTTCACCTTAGTTTTTCCTTTAACCAGTCTTTTAGTGGGTTATTTTCAAGCAGTGCACTTTCTCAATTTTAGAGAACCTTTTTAAAATGATCATAAAAATGAACAGATTTTTCATATTCTTCAGTAGAACGAAATGCTAACAATTTTAAGTTTGTTGTCCAAGGACTCAGTGAAAGAGAAGAAAAAAACAACCTTCTGTAAACAGTAAAAAAGAATAAAGAAAAGAATAGCCCATTAAAGAGCATGCTTGATACCTGCTTTTATTTTCTCTCTAATTCAGCTTTCACTGACAGCATGTGGTTTTTTGGTCATGTTGATGGCAATAAAGTTACCTTTTCTTTGCTACAAGTCTTTTACACGGTAGACATTTCCGGGAAACCAGGAAGAGACAGGACATATCATTGAACTGGTAACACCATTGAAATATCAGGAAATTTGAAAGAATCTTTAAAGATGGAAATATTTAAAACAGTTTTAAAAAGTACATATTATTCCTTAAATAACATTGATATGCTATTTTTTGGTAATTTTTATTGGCTAAGTCAATATTATTAATTTTGTCTTTTTCTTGGTGAAAGATGACTGCTAACCAACATGATGCTAGTTTTCATTTTAATAAATATTTTCTGTTAAGACTGTAAAATACTCCAAAAATTTTACTCAAGGGAGAAAATGTAGGGGAAATATCTGGAAAACCTGTTTCAGAAAAAGTGCAGCTGTTTTAGTAACTTTCAAATCACAATGATTAAGTGATATTTATAATTACTGATAAGCACAAAAGGGAAAGGCCTTTTGTGCTTATCAGCAATTATATTTTCTTTTACTTTTTCATCAGTTTTGGATGTTCAGGATTCATTCACCATATTTTATTAAGCATTTGCAGATAATGAATGAGGTTTACCACCAATTTATTGTGTGCATTTAACAATATTATTTATTTTGTGTTGTTAATTTAGTGAAAATTTGGAGAGTTTGAAAGTTAGCAAACTTCAATTAGAAGAGGAAATTAAACAAGCTAATTGGCAGGATGCTTCATCCAGGAATGTCATACAAACAATGACTGATGAACTCAATGGTTTACGTAAGGAGTTGGAGGTTGCGAAAGTGGAGGTCAGTGAGAAATTTTGGTTTGAAAATGTAATGCATGATATTTTTAAGCTTTATGAGTTATGTAAGATGACTAGCAAATGAATAATTTCATAAAATGAGCTGAACTCTTGTAATTACATCACCCAATAGAGCTAGATAAAAAAGTTACAATAGAAAAGTACTATAAATGCTCTACTCTATACAGAAAACAAAACTCCAAAATGAATCGTATCTTTCGGTACTTATACTCCAAAACAAATGAAATGAAGGAAGTTTACAAATTCTGGATCAATGCAATCATTATTTGCTGTGAACACAGAGTGAAACATGTTTCTGAAAATATAAATGGATTTGTTTTATATTTATCAACATCTGTACAAGTCTGTCCCTTTATGTTGTAGTGAACAATTGAGAGTTATCCTGCTGTTAAAAACATAAAACATCACTTATAATTAAATTAATTATATTATTAATTTATAATTACTGAAATTATTTTTGTAAAGAGAAATGTGTGACATGATTGGGTTGCTGGACATTGCATTGCTACACATTCACTGATCTTTGCATTTAAAAACAGTCAATCTTCAAAAAACTCACTGTCTTTGCTTCCTACAAGCTGGCATTGTTAGCCAAATTTCTGACCTAAAGTCATGGGAGTTCAACAATTGCATCTCATAAATATTATTTGAAGCAAGAACCAGTAAAATGATATTTAAATCAGTGAAATCAGAAAAAATGCCTTAAAAATGTACAGAAAAAGGTGAAAAATGTCTAATTAGTCAAAATCGATTAAAAGAAAAGCGCCATTTAAAAATAGGTCATTTCTTTTTGTCCTAACATAAAATTAATGTCTATACTAAAAGGCATTGTTCCAAGGTGCAAAGAAAATGATATTTCATTAAAATTCACCCCCTACCTACCTATTGATGATAATGTTTGTTATTTTTCAGGATGCAAGCAAAAGTAATCAAATTGTTTTTTTCAAAGAGAAATTATCCTCTTTAGAAGCTGAGAAAGAAGAATTAAAACTTATTGAAAAAGAGTTACGAGAGGAAGTTGCTGAAAAGGATGTAAAAATTCTTGATTTGGTTACTTTAAATTCATCTCTTGAGGTGGATATGCATAAACAGGATGAAATGAACAAAAAAATTCAAGAAGAACTTAGTAAAACGAAGAGTGATATGGCCAGTACACGTCAGGTAAATGTAGTTGTATTGAGTGTTGGAAAAAAATGGATGTGCTGTTTAATATTTTCCTAAATATGACTTTCATTGAGTTGCTTGTTAATATAGATTATGTGTTAGATAATATAAAAAAAAAGAAAGAGGACAAAACATTACAAATTGCTCACAAGAACAACAAAAAAATCATAAAACAGTGCAATAAATTAAGTATTTTAACAAAAACAGTCTTTATGAATATTCTAATAACATTGTATATTACATAAGCAGTACAGCAGCTCTTTAGATACAAAGTATTTGAAAAATGTTACTTTTCATCTGTGGAGCCTTGTTGCATGACGTCATCTGTAGTAGTAGGAAGAGAATTTTCATGCAGTAAAAAATCTTGAAATATGCTTTTAAAAATATGCATTTATGATCTAAAAATTCTGAAATATGCGTGTTAATATGAAATTAAAATTAACACATTCAATCCTGAGGGATCCACTAAGTGGTTAACTCCTGTGTCCTGGGCAATATAGCTGTTATTTAAAAAAATTGTAAAACAAAAACTATCGTACGCATCAATTAGAAATTGATAAAATCTTGTAGTATTGTTTTTTCTCTTTAGGTCTTTATGTTCATTTGATTATAAGATACTAATGAGAATAGAATTCAAAGAAACGCATGTTGTCAATTTTTTATTCCTGCAGAAAGTAGGATGTTGCAAAATATGGGGGAAATGCAGTGAAAATAATATGTCAACAATACTGATGCACAACATTTATTTAGTTATTTCATAAAATTAATGTGTGATACCCTGTGTGTAGTAAAAATACAAATTAAAAAAGAAATAACAGAGTAAAGTGTGTGAAGATACATATAAAATATCAAAAAGATCTCATAGGCGGAAAGTAATACCAACATAAGCACAGAAGAATGAATAAAAGTAAATACAAGTTTACAAATTTCAGAACTAATTAAGATGTCCAAGTTTTTTGTCAAACCACAATTGCGATTCATCATCTCATTAGTTCAATAGTTACTCACAGAAGTGTCAAGTAAAATCAATCAAGTCAATCTCCTAAAGATTTGCTTTGTTACTCTAAATGGTATGCAAAAAAGAATGTCTGCACAGTCTATTCTATCCAACAAAATATCACGTAATAAATAAATATCAGCACATTTTCTTCTACAATGAAGATTATTTAATTCAGATCTTAGGAGAATGATATCATAGTATGATTGACTGAGGCCACTGTCAGGCCAATTCTATGAGCAAAAACATGTAGGAACTTACGTTGAACTCTTTCAGTGGTGGATATCCTCAATTTTGTATATTTTTGTATTTATTATATTATGTTGAGGTTCAAATATAGTTCCATTTGTATGTCTATTTATTTCAGCCTTTATTTTTTGAAATGTACTGTGGTAAAAAACATGATGAAATATAGTCTAGTTTATTTGAGTCTTCATTTACAGGAAATTTTATTTCACTGCTTTTCTCAAACACTGGTAATTCAGATTGTTTATCAATTTCACAGCATTCTAAAGAAAATGAAAATTCTTGAATTTGGGAAGTTTCATCAATAGAATCATTCACATCATTATAACTCTCTTTGATATTTAATTTTCATTGCTCAAACTTGACAACAGTCCAGGAATAAAATCCAATGTATCAGAAGAACCTGTTCCGATCCAGTATTCAATAACTATTAAACTTCTAATGTTGAGAGTTGCTGTGAATTCTGTAACTATGTTTTCTAAACATCTGTATATGTCGCTAACAGCACAAACACTATTACAAAGAAAGACATTCTAAACGTAATCGACAGTTCCCGCAAGTATGAATATTGAATCACTTCCTAGAAACGTTCCAAATACTTGCAGAAAATAGAAGCACACATCGGCAATTCAATGATATTAAATAGTGTATTCTAGGTGCCAATAAACATCCAAAACACGTTTATTGTCCATAAAATTTGATAATTATAGAAAGACATATGACATATGTCCATAGGACACACCAGTAAAATGAAGATGAAGTATCAGATGTCCATAGGATTGAACGTGTTAACAAGTTTTAATTTCCTGTATAAACCTTTCTTGATAAAATTTCAAGAAAAACATGCTTAAAATGAAAGATATATTTTAGTGTTAACTTAATATAATCCACCTTACTTTCCGGGAGAAACAATTGATGTGAATATTCACCTCAGTGAAGAACATTGAATGTCTAGATGCATTTTTTCTGCATAGTTTTGAAAATGATATCTAGAAATATCCTATATTTGCACAAATATTGTATCATCTATAGGAAACACAGGAATTGTGGCCACATTTTTCTAATCAATAAATGCAAATAAATAGATTTTTTGAAAAGATGAAATGTTTTAGAGATAAATCTGTATTTTAATGAGATAAGCAAAATATATGTGCTTGTTATTACTCGAATGTGCACCAACAAAAAAAATCAGCCAAATATGCACTAACATATTCATCTATATGGTATTCAATTCAAACTAAAGCTCAAAAAATTTAATTTAGCTATGCCCTATCCAATAGACCTAAATATGCAAAATCATAGAAATTCACCCTGTAGTTATAAACATTGATCCACTGGGTATGAGAATTCTGTCATGAGTGGTCAATTCCACCTATTGTCATTCTGTGTGACTGTCATTCGGTTACACAGAATGAGAATAGGTGGAGTACCACAATCAGATATTTCACTTTTCAGTCAATATCAAAATTGATTCATTATTTTTGTAATGAATCTAGACATCATGCATGTGGTCAGAGGCTGCCAATTTTCTCTTTCAATTTCTGTGCACTTTGAAAATTAAGAATAGAGCTGTAACATGTTCACTTCACTTGTGATTATATATCACATATCACTCATTCCCTTCCCATTGTTTAGGCTGAACTAGGGAAACCGAGTATGACTGCAATGACAGAATGATTTATAAATCATGAAGTACATGAAATAATTTTGTCATTTTTTTTTATATAATTGTCATAGGATTTGTCTTGTAGTTGTCATGGCCTGGCCTGTCACCTATAGTCTGAGTCTGAGCTTTCATTGGTAGCTTTCCATAGTTTCTCTTGTCAATACCTGGTGAATGCTGGAGCAGTATCCTAAAAAATGGATCATGGATCATGTGCGTTTTTCCCTTCCTCATCCTTGTCATCTTTTCTCCTCTATCACATACTTACATTGCCACACACTGCACTACATACATCATACTCGCCTATAAGTGTGCCATTACGAATGTGATACATCGAGAGCATAGAGCTTGTCTTGGCTGAGGTGGTGTTCCACAGAGAGAGATACCTGGAGAAGGAAATCCCAGCAAGCTGATGTGTAGGTTGGTGCCAGATCTCACATTCCAATGGTGGAGGAACACTGCCATCTCTTAACTACAACATGCTCTGCACTAACTGAGCAAAGTGTATTGAGAAAAGTAATTGACCTGCCCGGAATCAATATTCACTCACTCATATACTCAATAAAGACAATATTATTGTAAAAAGTTATATCTATCATATGTATATTCATTTGCAAGATTTGACATCGACAGGACATCGATTTATAAGGAATAACATTTACCTAAATACTACATACTTATGGGCTAAACGTTTAATAAAACAATTAAAATGTAGAAAATAATGCATTAATCAGGTTTTTAAGTTGCATAAATAGGCCAAATAAGTTAGTTATAATATTAGCTGTATATTGAATCATTAAATCTTGTCCAAAAAGCATTTCTTGGATTAAAACAGATTAATCATTTTTGTATTGCTGAAAGTGATATGATCCTTTGACCATGATCCTTTTGACCATTTACCAAGCATTTTTAAATGTTCAAATCTGAAACTATGACTTTGATGTCCATATTATTTTGGGCTGGCCAAGACTCCACTTAATTCCAGAAGAGTAATAAGGACAATCTTTCACTTCTTATTATCTTGCTTACTTAAATCCAGATCAAAAAGTCTAATTTAAAAACATGTAACATATTTTTTATTTTAATTAATTGAGAAACAAATACGTAATTACATACAAATCCTTGTCCTGATCATCACTGTGATTGTGTGATTGATGAATGGACTAGATATCAACTCTTCTTTCAAATTTTCTTGTGTTTATCAGGAAATGTTGGTAAGTGTCGACCAATATAGAGAGCAATTCATGAGTGAACTTAAAGAAAATGAAGATTGTCGGAAGGAACTTCAAAGTAAATACGAAACTGCGTGCAGCGAGATGGAAAAAATAATAGAAAATAAGGTAATCTTCAGTTTTTTAAATAAACTAAATAATTTCAAATGAAGTTAGTGAAGAATGGGCAAACACAACTTGGCATATTGAAATAAAATATAACACTTTGAGGCGAATTTCTAGGACAGATATACCTAAGAATTAATGCGAGTTGCATTTCTTTTCAGTGGTCATGATTATTTGACTAGATATTTTATTAATGTGACATCTACAGCAACAACTCAATCACTTATATCTTAAGTCAAATCATCTGTATTTAATCTATCCTTAGTGACAGTCCTGCTACACTTTCACTTCAGTCATATTTAATGTGAAGATCATAGTGTTTTCAGTGAAATCTTAGTTTTTGATCCTTAATTTAAAAGTTGTTCTTTTTGTAAATGCTGGGGGGAAAATTTTCACATGTGATGTGATGTTTTATTGTTACTGTTGCTGTTTTTAATTATGATAAATTATGTTTGGTAACATCTTTTATAGAAACAGAGTGATACTGAGATATTAAATCTCCAGCAGTCTATTAAGTTTTATGAAAACAAAATAAATACAATGGATGGTGAAACAAAAAAAATGAAATTAGAACAAGAAAAGAAGGAGAACGATTTTAATGAAAAGATATCAAAATTAAAAATATTAGTCTCACAATTAGAAGAAGAAAAGGTACTGCTGGAAAAATCAATCCATGACATGAAGGGAGATATAAATTTAAAACAAATGTTACAAGAAGAAAATATTTCTTTAGAAAAAAAGATAAAAATTATCCAACAAGAAAATGAAGAATTAAAAGAGAAATTGAAAAGTAAGGAGAAATCTTCAACAACAACCTTTTCGGAAACTGAAACTTTAAAGGTGAGAGAATGGTCCTAATTGCTTTTCATCAAATTAAATTTTTCCACAATAAGTTCTTAAGTTTTTTTCTTACTTCAAGTAACACACAGTTGTTATTTTTGTGAATTTTAATCTTTATAGACAGAAATTGCATAAATTTAGATTGATTACCAATTTAAAAATTATGAAATTAATTACTTACTCTGTTATCATGGAGAATTTTTAAAAGAAATTTTTACATCTAATTTAATATATCTGTATGAAAGAAAAAATGTTAGCAAAACATGTTTTAATAGAATTCAAGGTATTAAACATGTATGAATTTAAGATTCTGTCCTCTTTACCTCACAAGATATGAGTTTTTCAGAGGAGCTGTACAAACTAAATGCGAAGGTCCGAAAATATCTCTTTGTAAATTACGGAATGACGAACATTAATCAATGTTTTCACATCCTAGAATGCACAGTTTGTGAGTTAATGATCAATATCAGAAATGTACCATTGTGACATGTGTTTCAGGATTGCATCTACACCTGCCTAATTTAGATGCAGTTTACATTTTCACCACACTACTTACTTGTGTAGAAGAAAAATGTACTGTAATGTTGCAATGGAAATCTGTGATTTTTCAACAAACACTGTAAATACCTCGGTATCAAAAAAGTGAACAAATTTTGTTCCTATATTTAGTAAATTACTTCCTCTAACATGTTGTGTAGTCAGATTTCACGACTTGTGAATATTGCGTCCTTGATATCAAACACAAACAGCTTATACTTTCTTACATAACTTGAAGCTGCTACCTAAACAATATTATACTTCTACATGAACTTGCAAAGATGTTTCCAAGCAACAAAACATTTTTATCCGCACCTAGATTTGAACTCATGCTGTTAACTTGCTATGCGCTTTACTCTTATACTGCGCAGTCACTCAGTCAGACTCTCTTTTGTCGATTCTTAAAATATTAATGGTCTCTCTGATTATTTCTAACTTATGCAATTTCAGAAAATTAAGAGTGTTCAAATAAAATTAGCCCTGCGCCATTTTTTAAGCGTCCTTAGCTGCAACTGTGAAAATAAAAAAAGTGGAGTCATTTCTGAGGAAAAAATTTTACATATATATAGCTTTAACTTCAAGCGTAAGTTATACGAAAACTACTTGCTGTTCTTTGAGGAATACAAGTAGAAAATATAAAGGAAATATCTCCATTTTTAAAAAATTAATTGTTTGAAATTAGTCCATATTTCACACAGATTTATCCAAAAACTACTCGTAATTTTGAAAAATTATGCATAAACATATTTGAAGACCTGTCAAAGTACAGATTGCATTAAGGGAAAAATCTCTATCTTCAATATTATATTTGTAGGAAGATGCTGAAATGTTTTTAAACGTTTGTAGTTTTCAAAAAATTAGGCGATGTCAGCAAAAAATGAGTCCTGCACATTTTTTTAAGTTAATAGTGTACAACATAAGCTTTTGAGAAAATAAAAGGTAAAACCAATTGTTTTCAATAGACATTTATTTTTAGTCTGCAATAAAATAGACGTACAATAATTCTGAGTATGATTTCTAATCATTACGTGATTTTACTTTTATTAATGTCTTTACTATTGTAAAGGAATGATAATTACATTAAATATCAATTCTTTTCAGTTTCCAGGAGAAATACCTGTTCCTAGAAAACGAGTGTGCTTTGAAGAAGAATTTATGTCAGATGCTTCAAGCATTGATCTTCCAAAGTTCTTTGTGAGTTCCAATGTCTGGCGGATTCAGAGGGGCTGGGGGGGGGTCTTGTCCCCCTCCCCCAAAAAAAGTCCTAGAGTTTTCGTGTACCTTTCTTGTATTTGGCAAAATTGATTTAAATATTCATTTATGGTTAAATTATATAATTATTTAACAATATATCTACTATACATAAATAATATACAATATAATAACAAATATTTCATTGTGTAACAAAAATGTAGGATGGCACCTTCCAAAATGATTGGCAGGATCTGCCCTTGGTTTCTATGTTAAGTTTATTTTATTAAAAAATTAGACAAAGTAATTTTTACTCATTTGTTCTAATAAGAAGGAAGGTTCTAGGAAGAAGGAGAAGAAGAATTTTTTTTTTTCAGATTCTTTGATTGTACAGTGTACCATTTTAAGCCACATCACTAAATTGAGTTTTAACAAACTACAACCTAACACATCTGCAATTATCACATTCATCTTGAATAACAACATAGGGCATTAGGAAAATAACAATATAACAGATAAATACATCTAGAATTTTGGTAATTCAGTCTAAAGTTACAGAGGCATTTGATTTTTGCCTCTCTTTATTTTCATTATTCAAAATAACAAACTGAAAAAATTCTTTTTACTATTCTATGCTCACTGACCCAATCCTAATTATTAAAACATGTATAATTGTTTGGGATGGGGAAAATTGTTTGAAAACTTTTCATTCCTGTGTACATGTGTCAAACCTCATTTTCTCTTCTAGGATAACTAAGGACAATAATATGTAATTGAAATTATTTTATAAATAGGGTGAGAAAAAGTAACAACAAAAGTAATTTAATAAACAACTGATCTTTTTTTATTTAAATAATAGTTTTATTAATATTGCACTTTATTGAGTGTACAAATTTATTAAATTAATGAAGACTAGACATTTTATTAAAATTTTATAACAAATAATAATTAGGAAAAGTGAATTATTAAACATGATTTCTAATTCGTTTGTAACTACAAATCGTGATCATCATTTCAAACTTTACTAGTGAGCACAATACAGACTCACTTGCACATAATCTTGAATATTTTATCATTAACAGACCAAGTAAATTTTGGTATTTATCAAGGAACATATACAAATGTTGCTTTCCCGGAAAACTGTTGTCAAACAAAAACACTATTTTGTACTCTAGTGCAGTTTAATTTACCTGCAACTTCTTTTGCTTTTCATTAATCGACAATAAGTAATATTGCTTTGCTAGTTATAACCAAAAATTGTTTATGCCTGTTGGTTTTTTGATTTATTATGAAGGATTTTATGAAACTGAATTCTTGGATAATATTTTTCCATAAAAATAAAAGATATCTGTCTTTGAAATAGTGACACGTGTGACACCAAGCATCAATTAGTATAATGTTAGATGTTAAGACTTATTCCTCTCAAAAAATTATTTCTTTGGATCGATTTGCCCTTTTTGTTTGTTTATATGTTTGTTACTACAGTATTCCATAAAAGCAAAAAAATGTTACATACAAAACTATATTGTTCTGGCTTCAGTAAAAGTATGATCGCAAGAATGGAGGCACACTTCATTTACTCTGGGTTTGTATTTTAAACCTGGCAACAATAAAGACATTCTTAAGCGGAGGGAAAAGTGTTATTGACAGTCACCCTTTAGTCACATTTAAAAATTAAGCTATTTTTTTTAATGCACTCAATGCCAATCAAAAATAACTGTAATTTTTGTGCGATTTTCAGAAATCTAATCTGACATCTGCCAGTCAAGATGAAAGGACATTAACTACCAACACTGAAAAGGTACTGATTAGTTGAGTTTACTAGTGTTTTTTTATATAGTTAAATTGAAGTATTTATTTGAACTGTGCTTAATAATGAAGCAAAAGTCTCCTTTTCATTAAATGTTGTGATGTTTCAAAATTTGCAAAAACTTTAAATTTAATTCAAATATATTTGTAAATTATTATCATATAAGCTACGTATAAATGTTTTTTATGTTTAAGGTATTATTTTTCATGTAATTTAAAATCAAATTGTGACAATTGTCTCAAAAATTACTGAAATACTTATTTTTCTTCTAGCACTTTGTTTGTAATCTAGCACTTTGTTGCACATCTGAAATTAGTGACAATTTTATTAAAATATTTTAATTTAAAAACGCAGTAGTAAAAATATAATTTTCTTCTATTGGTATCAAGTCACTGATATTTACTTCAGGGATGTAGACCTACTTCCTGGTTTGTTTCTTTTTGCTACATTTTTAAATACAACAACTTCAAATATCCTATTGTAAAATTTCACGAAATCTTAAAAATTATCGAATAGAAGTGAATAGAAGTGTGACCAAAATGGCATATTTCCAAAAACACTCAAAAGTTTTTCTCAAAAACAATTCTTATTTGTTTCTCAAAAATTTAGTTTTGAAAAAGTTTGTTCTTTTGTGATACTCCTGATCAAATATTCGGGAGTCTGAAAATATAAGATTGTGAAAAATTGTAGGTGTTTCTTGATCAATTACAATATTTATTTATTACAGGTTTTAAAAATTACAAAATAGTAATTGTATATTTATAATTAGATTATATTTTAATAGATTAAATAATTAAATATATTTAAATAACTTCTAAATGCCCTAATAGGGATATGGTGATTTTCGTTGTCTAATTTTTAGTTGTTAAGTTTTGTGTGTATTTCAAAAAATTACTATCATCAAATTTAGCAATAAATTACAATAAAGTATTTTCAAATTCTGGGACAAACAAAATATTACTTAATCTTTTTCATGTAAAAATGTTATTTCTGTACTACGAATACCCAATTTCAGAGGGAGGATACAAATATATATTTCAGGAACAGAACTTACTAACTTGTATATCATTTCTCAAGTTGACCCCAAAGTACCTGGGTGAATTAAAATACTCATACTTCTGTAATATTTGAGATAGAATTTTTTCTGAATAAATAAGTAATTGCAACATCTCAAATATTTTTACAACTAAAAAATCTTTTGAATTTTTTGAAAATTCAGATGCAAGAAGCATGAGATAAGTTAGACGTATTTTCAAAAAGGCATGTGAGCTGACATACATCCAAAATATTTTGGACACTAGCATCATTTATGTTTTCAACTCCCCCCCCCCCCCCCCAACCTTTTATTGCATCAATTGCCACTTAAGTTTTTGGAGCTGAAAAAACTTGCAGGCATGTCTCAGATGATGTGGCAGAAGCTAAGGACATTACTAATAATTTCAGTATAATTCTATAAGCATTCAGCATAAGCAAACCTATAGTGTCATGTGAAAAACAAAATACGCCATCCCCCCAACATGTAAAGAACAGCCCTAATACTACAAGATTTGTGGCAAAAAAGTTGAATGCCAATTATTTTCAATAATGAAAATAGCATGGGAAAGGATGGCAAAATAATACACCTTTTTAATAGTAAAACACTTTTATATTGTATTAAATATAAATTCTTTCTTTTTGGCAGATTGAACTCAATTTATATGTATGTTGGTATTTAAAAAAGTGCTTTGATAGAACAAATTTAATCAAACAAAATATTATTTTGTTGCTTATGCCTTTCATTTTATTCATTGCACTCGGGAATTCTTAATTTTTTTATAAAAGTTTCTAAAATAACTTGACATAAATGTTATCAAAGAGTAGGTATGAAAATTACAAAATTTTAATCATATGTAATTCTAAATGTTAGGCTCCACTAGATACTGTGTAATGAGGCAGCGTGAACCAGTTATTATATTTAGTTTTACATTAAAATAGTCTTTGTCAACTGTCCACATATTACTTAAATAGAAAATATTTAAAGTAGTAATTGCAATTTAAGTAACTAAAAAAAATTTTCATAAACTGATATCCAAATTAGATCTACTTATTTGCACTTACTAAACTGGTTCTTTGCCTATTTACCTAATTAATCCTCTGACCATTATTACCTTAGGAACAAATTTTGCTCAGAGAGAATATCCTTTGACTAATTATTGCCAATTCTTTCTTTCAGAATGATAAAACAAAAAATCGCAGAATGCAAAGAAGCATGAGAGGTTCGAATAGTGGTCGAAAATTTTTCAAAAAATCAATCTCTGGATTTGAAGGCTCTAACATATTTGGTTGAAGAAGTGTTTGATTGTTTCTGCTTCAAAAATAATATTTTTTACACCATTGTTCTGCTTTACTTGTTATTTCTTAGTAGTATTATTATTGTTGTTTGTGACATAAAAGAATGTTTAAAAAAAATATTGTTAGAGAGAATTCCTATGTAATGTTTGTTTTTAATATGCTTGAGCTAAATTCTAAAGATCTTTAATAATTTAGTTTTGTTCACTTGTAGTTCTCAAAGTTTTGAGATAGTTGTAAATTTCAAATATTTTTGTTGGATTCTTTGAGAAGATATTGTAATAAATGTTAATGTCAACTCAAACTACTACTGTTGTTGTTGTTGTTATTATTATTATTATTATTATTATTATTGTTGTTGTTGTTGTTTTTGTTGTGTCAGGGGAAAAATCCATCCTTCAATTCCGGTCCACTGAGGGCTTCTTTCTTAACTCTTTTCGCGTAGTTATAAAATTTGGCCCAAATTTCTTCTGCTTATAGCATTTTGCCTACTATGTTTGGTGAGATCTCCTTTCCAATGATGAAGTTAGTTATTTCTCTGTCTTTTTCAAAATCGTGGCAGTAAAATAACATATGTTCTTCGTCATCTTCTGTTCTGCAGGAAGTACACCTGCTGTTCTGTTACTTTTAGAAGCAGTATTAGTGGCTGCTGATTCTTCCACTGTCTGTGAAGGCTTGTGTCAGGTAGAAACCGGTCTCACCATGCTGCCGTTCTAGTTTTAACTGACTCTGATTTTAACTCATAGGAACGCAATAATTGAAACTTCTCTGTTCAAATTAGGCACTTATCGGAAGGCGCAAAGGAAGCAATAAATAAAAATATCAGACATCATGATTTTTTTTTTTTTTTTTCAGGAAAGATCCGCGTACGAAAACCATGCAAGATGTTTTTTATCGTCTTCCGGTATCTTCAGACCCAGTGATTTCAACTTCACTAGACAATAAAACAGCGATCCGTTGCCGCCCGAGGTTTGAACCTTCTGCATCCTTTGAAAGTTTTCAATAATCATTGATTAATAAATATACATTACCATTTAAAATGAATGTTTGCATCAAATTTGTGCACCTTCGACCTTACTATATATTTTCAGGCGGAACTGCTTAATTTTCAAATATTTGATCCACCAAACTGCATCTGTGATTTTGGATTTTTCAATTTTGACATCAAATTTGTAATCAGCAATTCTGAAAACCCTTAAATTCACAGTTCCACGCGAATGCGCTCCATTTTTAAATATTGATCCGCCATATTGGATTTTCCACTTTCAACATCAAATTCGTGATCAGCACCCCTAAAAATCATAATATACATAATCTTAATGGGGTTTTAATGATAGCTTCTAATTATGGCCTCGTTTTAGCCAGCAGAAATCCGTGTGCGTCCCCCGGGGGCTCCACACATCTACTCAGTAATTCTCCAATTATCTCCATCGTATATAATGCTTCTCTCGCTTAGGCAATCTCCTGTAAGATTCTTCGGGTAGACTGGGATATTCCGTCTTTATAATGCCTCTTCTAATACATCTTCCCAACCTACGTAATTAAATGCGTTCCAAATGTCTGTTGCTGTAAGGGTGCGAAAGCCTTTCTTCCTGCCGCTACTTTCTCTTGTTTTTGCCAGTTTGACTGCTTCCCTGATGGCGTCGATCATCGATTTGCCTTCACGCCACCCGTACAGGGCATGAGCCAAGCTGCTCTGTTCTATCATGTGCTTCTTCAAGTGATGAAGAATCAAGCCTTAAGGCAATTTGCCCATGGTGTCCAGAAGGCAGATGGGTCTGTACGATGATGCACTCTCCACCGGGTTGTGTTCTTTCCTTCCACTCTTTGGCAAAGCTTGAATATCTCATACACGCATTGAAGAGCTCCAATAGATGGTCCGGTTACTCTGTGATGACTATTTTTAGTACCTCGTTCGGTATCCCGTCCAACCCAGGTGCCTTGCCTGCTTTCAGGCATTTACCTACTTATTGTAGTTGACGAGTCGTGAACATGCCTCTACCGCTTTGTGATAGCTGTTCCTTTTCCTTTATGGCGGTAGGGAAATATATGTCTAATTATTTCGTCGACCAGCGTTTTATAGTTAAGTGTAGGGATATTCCACCTCCCATACAACTTTCTCATAACAATTTTATAAGGTATGCCCCACGGATCGTTTTCTACTTCTAATAACAGCTTTCTCCAGCGCATTGCTGCTCCTTGCTTTTTCTTATTGCGCTTTTGAATTCCTTCCTCCTCCGCTTATAAACCTCTTTTCAGATATTTATCTCCCATTGCCTTCTGGCCACTGCCCAATCACTTCTTTGGAGGGCTATTTCTGTATCCACCAACATTTTGGTCTCCCACGATAACTGCTGACTGTCTTCGATAGATTGCAGGTAATCTGGATTACCTTTTGAGCCCTGTCTGCCATACTGCCTCTTGTTTGAAGTTGAACTCCCCACCGTAGATTTTGAATGTACCTAGATTATGTCAGGGATCTTTTTACGTTCTCTTCGTTAAATTTTCGAGCCCGCGTTGAACTGAGTTCTCGCCTTTTATAAGACGATTATTTAGAGAACTTACTTTCTACACCCCTAATAGATGTATACACTGGCGTTTTAGAAAATTGCAACACTAGGAGAGAATGGTCGAATTTAAAAATCTGTGGATGTGTAGAACATTGTATCCATAAGAAGTGATTAAATTTGCATAGAGAGGATACATGTTGGTCTAGCAGCGCCCTCCTTCTGTGACAGGTCAGGTCAGTATTACGTATCACCCAGTCAGAGTAGAGCCGTCAAACGTGCAAGCAAGTGCCGATATGCCTCGTCGATGCCAAAGGGCGCAATATCACTATCAGAGTGAGTTCGAACGGACAGAATAATCGGTCTCCAAAAAGTGGGTTTGTCGTACCGTGACATTGTGGCTCAAACGGGACGCGCTGTTACGACAGGGATGCGTGTGGGGGACCAGTGGATAGAAGAGGGTTGTTGCGTAGGCTTCCGCGGCCGGAGTTGTCTAGGCTATCCGGGACGGTTTCGCTTCAACTTGTATTTCGTGTTTCAGCAATGGCGGCGTATGATTTCGACTCTATCTTGATGATCGCAATACGCCATCCTATATTGTTCATCGCCATAACGTAGAAACGCCAATTGGGATCTTGCCACATACGAATCGAAGACAATCTGAGCAGCAACAATCTACATCACGTAGATTTTAGAGTCCGAGGTATGGCCCCTCCTGCAAGCAGTTTCACATGCCATAATTCAGCAGGACAATGTCCGAGTGCGTGTGGTGAGGAATGTGCAAGATTTCTACGGAGAACGACGGGTACCACTGGTTGGCCTGACATGTTGCCCATTGAACATGTCTGAGACACTGAGACATGATCCGTTGGCAACTTGTTCGTTCTGGTCCTCCTGCAGCCACTGTCGATGCTTTGTGGCCAGGCATTGAAACAGCGTGGCAGTGGGTTCCCCAGTATCATATACAGGCTCCCTTTGAATCCATGCTACCACGTCTAGAGGCTCTAATGGCAGCGTGTGACGGCTTCACAGCGCAATAAATAGTAAAGGTCGAAATGCAGGTACAGTTCTGTAATTTTAATCATTTGTATATTGTGATATTACTTGTCTGTGGAATGAATTTCATTGTAATAGTCTCCTTGATGTTGCAATTTTCACATACACCAATGTAGTTATGGTCACTCAGAGACTTCTCTAGGACTTTCCATTCTTCAATGAAACCTGCTAACCGCTGGTTTGCGATGACACGTCAATTATTGACTTGGTGTCTCCTGTTATAAACGTTGGTTTCACGTCGTTATTTATTACAACAATGTCCTTTCGTGCTATCATTTCACTTATTAAAGTCCCTCTTATGTCAATTCTTCCTTCGCCTCTCTCGGGTATTTCCCATTGAATTCGTGAAAATATCGTTAGCTATATTCGCAAAGTCCTTTATTAATGATATTTTGCATTCCACCACAACATTTCAGCAGTAAGCATTCGACCTCAAATATTGACTCGTTCCGCTCCAGCAGTTTTTCCACCTCATCTATAACATCCTCCTTGGTTGTCACTATCCTTTGCCAATATGCCTTGGCCAATATCCTTTGCCTCTAACGTTACCTTTGGTTTCAGAGGTTGTAAGTCAGCGAGTTCGCTCACTGTTTTAGCCATTTTTTTACTAAAGGCGTCTGCACTCTTGTTCTTTGTCAGTTCTATCAGGAGTTCTTCCCTGCTTTTGTGGCGTCTTTGCCGGGGCAATAAATCACAGACGTGAACGGTTTGTAATTTATTGAGTATTTATTTGAAAAAAGGCTCCAACACCTGAATACTGTGTACAATAATTACAACAAACTATATTGACCCGTTACTAGAAGGAATGTTCCTAGTTACCACCACCTCTGGCCTGATAATAAGGTATCTTATTCGGTGTGATGCGACAGTATCCTACGTGAGCATACAAGCGAGTATGCCGCACCCCCCGTCTTGACGTAACACGCCGGCTTCAGTTCCCTGCCTCAGTAGCCTATGCATTGAAATGAAGCGCCGCGCACAACCCACACGACTTCCTACGCGACGCGCCCAAGAATCCAGAAGAACGCGCAGTTTAGGTCCGGCGGTCCGATTATATTACCTTCTGGGCCGGTTGACGGAACTGCGTCATCTCGCTGTTCTGCGACCGCGTTCCACAGCCAGCCTGTCTACGGGTTTACAAGTTGCCCCAAGTGGCACCCACGATACGCCACACCCTTCCTTTCCGCTCGTAGGTTTCGCCATTGTTCAGCCCGGAGCCTCTTCCCGCCAGCGCTGTCCATGAGCATGAAATGCACGTCGGCCTAATCATTTTTTGCCCAGTTCTGTACACAGCGCGACTCGATACTGACCCGCCACCACTTGGGTTTTTTCACCCCTTCCTTCTCCCTGGTAGGACCTCATCGTTCCCTTTCATCTCTTAGTCAGTATGTGAAACCCCTTGTCTTGCCGTATTCTTTAGTCTCATTTCTTTTAAATACAGGTCTGACCTTTTTTCTTTTTCTGTGTCCTCTGTCTTTGTTTTTGCTCTTTTCTGGGTTTCCCATTGCTTCTTGTTCTCAGCCTCTTCTATTTCGAGCGATGCACTCTCCTCGCTCTAGTTTCCTTCACTTTTCTCTGGGTTATCACGAATATTTTCTTCCGCTTCCTTCTGGTAATTTTTTGTCCCCTCCGCTAATCTTCTCTAGTGGACTATGCGCCGCTCTCTTTTTTTTCCTGTGCGTCCAGTCGATTTTTCCCTCACTTAGCCTTCTCCTCTTTTTGAAAGAGTTCATCTCCGAGA